ACATATTCTACAAAGATCTTTATCGGTCAAACCGCATAACGATATACATTGTTCCCTTTGTCATTGGTATGTTACTTGCCCGAGATTCGATCGTCGGTATCCCAATACCTAGTTCAATCTCATTCCGGCAAGTCTCTTTACTCGTTACGTAATGTTACATCCCATAACTAACTCATTAGCTACATTGCTTGCAAGGCTTATAGTGATGTACATTACCGAGAGGGCCCAGAGATACCTCACCGACAATCGGAGTGACAAATCCTAATCTTGATCCATGCCAACTCAACAAACACCATCGGAGACACCTGTAGAGCACCTTTATAATCACCCAGTTATGTTGTGATATTTGGTAGCACACAAAGTGTTCCTCCAGTATTTGGGAGTTGCATGATCTCATAGTCATAGGAACATGTATAGTTATGGAGAAAGCAATAGCAACAAACTAAAGGGTCATCGTGCTAAGCTAACAGATGGGTCAAGTCAATCACATCATTCTCTAATGATGTGATCCCGTTAATAAAATGACAACTCATGTCTATGGTTAGGAAACATAACCATCATTGATTCAACGAGCTAGTCAAGTAGAGGCAAGCTAGTGACACTCTGTTTGTCTATGTATTCACAAATGTACTAAGTTTCCGGTTGATAAAATTCTAGCATGAATAATAAACATTTATCATGATATAAGGAAATATAAATAACAACTTTATTATTGCCTCTAGGGCATATTTCCTTCACATACAAACCAAAAAGCGCATGACAAACTCTGCTTCCCTCTGCAAAGGGCCTATCTTTTACTTTTATGCAAGAGTCAAAGTATTCTTCCCTATTCCTTTTTATTTTTATTTTTGCAAGCATCATGTGGTGAGGAAAGATCTAGGCACATATATCTAGTTGGATATGAGTGAGCATGAGTTATTATTGTTGACATCACCTTTGAGGTGAATACATTGGGAAGCGAAACTATAAGCCCCTATCTTTCTATGTGTCCGGTTGAAACATTTTGTTCATGTGTATGAGGTGAGTCTTAGCAATTGTAGAAGATTATATGATGGTTGAGTATGTGGACTTGCCAAAAGGCTCCGATACGTGACCCTTTCTGAAAAGATGATGAATTGGAGTTGCAAAGTTGACAGAGAACATAGTTTGTTGGTTTTCAATAGAGTTTATGCTTTTACTTCGATGTTGTGATGAATTTTTACTTGTTCATGAGAAGTTATATGATAAAGTTCTATGATAAAATATGTTGTTGCTATAATAATAAGCATGATGCTTCTATGTCCGTATTTTGTTTTTATCGACATCTCTCTCTCTCTCTCTCTCTAAGCACGTGGGTATATTTTTTGATATCGGTTTTTAGCTTGAGGTCAAGCGAGGTCTAAACTTGGGGGAGTTGATACGTCCATTTTGCATCATGTTTCCTACTCTTATTTACAATGTTTTTATGCATAATAATGCTTATGGAGTAATTCTAATGCCTTTCCTCTCATAATATGCAAGGTTTACACAAAGAGGGGGGATGCTGGCAGCTGGAATTCTTGACTTGAAAATGCTATGTCAGAGTTACCTATTCTGCACATCTCCAAATGAGTTGAAAATTTACAGAGAATTATTTTGGAATATATAAAAAATACTGGAGCAAATAACTACTGGAGGGGGGCCACCTCGTGAGCACAAGACTCCAGGGCACGCCAGCCCCCCCCGGGGGCGTGCCCTGGTTGGTTGTGCTCAGCCCAGCTCACCTCCAGTGCCCATCTTCTGGTATATAGGTCATTTTGACATACAAAAAAAATCAGGAGAGGACTTTCGGGACGGAGCACCATCGTCTTGAGGCGGAACTTGGGCAGGAGCCCTTTTATCCTCCGGCGGAGCGATTCCGCCGAGGGAACTTCCCTCCTGGAGGGGAAAATCGAAGCCATCGTCATCACCAACAACCCTCTCATCTTTGGGAGGCCAATATTCATCAACATCTTTAACAACACCATCTCCTCTCAAACCCTAGTTCATATCTTGTGTTCAATCTTTGTACCGGAATCTCAGATTGGTACTTGTGGGTGACTAGTAGTGTTGATTACATCTTGTAGTTGATTACTATATGGTTTATTTGGTGGAAGATTATATGTTTAGATCCATTATGCTATTTAATACCCCTATGATCTTGAGCATGATTTTCATCTATGAGTAGTTACTTTTGTTCTTGAGGTCACGGGAGAAGTCATGTTGCAAGTAATCATGTGAACTTGATATGCGTTCGATATTTTGATGATATGTATGTTGTGATTCCCTTAGTGGTGTCATGTGAACGTCGACTACATGGCACCTCACTATATTTGGGCCTAAGGGAATGCATTATGGAGTATTTATTAGATGATGGGTTGCTAGAGTGACAGAAACTTAAACCCTAGTTTATGCGCTACTTCGTAAGGGACCAATTTGGACCCAAAAGTTTAGTGCTATGGTTAGATTTTATCTTAATACTTTTCTCGTAGTTGAGGATGCTTGCGAGGGGGTTAATTAAGCATAAGTAGGAGGTTTGTTCAAGTAAGAATAACACATAAGCACCGGTCCACCCACATATCAAATTATCAAAGTAGCGAACACGAATCAAACCAACACGATGAAAGTGATATGGTGAAATTCCATGTACCCTCAAGAACGTTTTGCTTATCATAAGAGAATGTTTTGGCCTATCCTTTGTCACAAAAGGATTGGGCTACCTTGCTGCACTTTATTTACCGTTACCGTTACTTGCTCCTTACAAATTATCTTGCTATCAAACTACCTGTTACCGACAATTTCAATGCTTGCAAAAAATACCTTGTTGAAAACCACTTGTCATTTCCTTCTGCTCCTCGTTGGGTTTGACACTCTTACTTATCGAAAGGACTACGATTGATCCCCTATACCTGTGGGTCATCAGCAACCCTCTGCAAGGTGAGGTCCTAGCAATTTTTCTTCTTGGGCTTTGCCACCCGTCTTTATTGACTTGTTTGTTCAGGCCTTCAAGGATTCTGTCTCGAGGCCTCCTCAACCCATCCGTGGAGAAACGGTGATGTATGCCGCCATAGACCTGCGTCCCCCTCCCCGAGGTTCGTCCGGGAGCCCAGCACAAGTTCAGGCCGCCCCGCCCACAGAGAGGCCGCAGAAGATCTTGCTGGAGAAGGTCGCCCCACCTCTATTGATCAAGGCCGTGAAGCCGCAGGGCGCTCCTCCTATAGGTCCCGTGACACGATCCATGGACAGGAGGAGGCCTCGCGGGACATCCGCGGGGGGCTCGTTGGTCGAGGCCCTCGAAGGTTCGACGGGTTTGTCTGGAGGTGGAAACATGGGCTCGCCACCGTAGCTGGTAGCTACAGCGGAGCCCCGAGAGTCTATGTCGGAGGGCCTCCGGACTTGTCCGTGGAGGGCCAGCGAAACCAACCCTCTGACACTCATTGGTTCGATGGATGTGGCCCAAGCCCATCTGTGCACTCGACCATATTACAACTTATAAATGATAATATTTGTAGCCATCTTGGCAAAATTGATCTAGACCATTAGCTTTTGTTTCATGTGTGTTTCTTATTGGGCAACTCAAGGGATTTGTGTGCCCCAGAAACTATTTTGTTTTATGTACTGCTCCATATGGCTTTTTATTTGTTTTCGGGGCTATCTTCCTCATTATTCGTTTGATGAAGTTTCGGCTCAACTAAAAATTACAGAAAATAAATATAATAGCATCTAGTTATCTTCATCTTTGCTCTGTTTTCACCCCTTACAATGGACCGTGCATGTGCGGTAGAACATTTTAAAAATCTGTGAGACATAAATGTTCAAGAAATGAGTAAAGACCCCGAATAAGTCAAAAATATGTCACACGAGATAGGCAACAATGGAAGTGATGTAAAAGGTAGTGAAGCATGTGATTTTGCCACCGAGGTTTTTTTCTCCAATGTCTTTCCTTGAAAATTGGTTCATGTTCCTGTGAAATTGCAGTAAATTTCTGCTACCTCCATCTCAAAATAAGTGTCTCAAGTTTAGTACAACTTTGTACTAAAGTTAGTACAAAGTTGAGACACTTATTTTAGGACGGAGGGAGTATGAGTTTCTTGCAAATCATAAAGGTCTTGTATTAGAAGACATGGGATTGCAAGCTTTAATTTCAAATTATGTTCAAAGCATGTATAAAATTGAATATATGTTAACAAGTTCACCTTATCATAGTTTCATAATGTTTAGAACGTCAGCTCAGACTCAGGCTAAGTTGGTTACCTCCCGCCCATGAGTTGGAGAGGGCGTTCTAAACATTATAACCGAGTTGTGAACATATATTCAATTTTATATGCTTTCTTATAATCCAGTTCTAGTACTTTTCTTATAAATTGCAAACATACATTCAATTTTATACATGTTTTAGACTTTATCATAGAAATTGCTAGAAATCTTAGCACCAACTATAGTTGATGCTAACCACTATGGAGTGAGGTGCAAAGAAGAAAAAAAGAGGCTGGAATTGGTTCCAGTACTATACCCAGGTTCTAAAAGAGTTGACTATACGAGAGACCCAAGCTGATCCAGATTATGAGAGAAAGGTAGATGATGAAAAAACAAATCTGACATGTGGGCCCAAAAATAGGTGCTAGGAAGTTTACATCAGAGCAATTTTAGTTTCCTTATAACCGAGTTCTAGCAATTTTGTTTGAACCAACGACACTCTCATGCTCTATCTCACACTCATGCTGCCAATGCTGTCCTCAGCCAAGCTCCGCCACAGAAGTCTTCGAACATTTGGTGTTCATCTTTTCTTTCTCGTAAAATTCGACATACATATACATACTCACTAATTGAACTTAACATCAGGAGCTACTAGCTCTGTATACTCTCTCTTCTCTGTCACTCTATACTTGTTCTCACCTGAACTTCCTTTTTGGAGGCATTTCATGTGAACTTGAACGACTTGACAGACTGCAAAGATATATGCATACATAAAAGAGATCAGTCAGTGCTCCAACAAGCACATGCTAGCAGGAGGTAGATTCAATCCAAGAAGATGTCACCTTCTCTATCTCAGGCTTGTATATGGCTGACTCCTCTTCGTCGTCGATGTACTGTGCGAGACACCAACGTAGACAAACAAATGTGAGTGGAGTGATGTTGGTTGGTTGACCTGAGCAGAGCAGAAGATGGAAGTACCTGCCCTGTCACCGTGTACAGCCGGTTGTACCAGCCGTTGAAGGCCATCCCGATGGCGGAGACGATGTGGCGGCGCTTCTCGCCGGGGTTCTGCAGCGTGTACTCGATGTAGTACAGGCCGTTTGATGCCTTGGAGTCGATGAGCTTCGCGGCGAGCCCCGCCGGCCTCTGCCAGCTCCTGTCCAGGCCGGTCACCTGCTCGGTGGAGATACAGAGAGTGCATCAATTGGCCATGACACACGAGCAGGAATTCAGAGACGACCATGCATACTTGTAGATAGATATTCGTGCAGTTCACTGAAGATTCTACAAAAAAGGTGGGAGTGCCGGGTACTTACCAAGTTCTCGGCGAACTCGTCGACGCTACCGAAGGACTTGAGGCTGGTGAAGTCCGGCCCGATCCCGGTGATCACGACGCTGACTGAAGATTGCAGAGAAGAAGCTCATGAATTTGGAGAGGGGTGGGTATGGTGGATTGGTATTTGGGACTGTGAGATGGATGCCGGGAAAGAACCCCAACTCGTACGTACCGCTGGAGTTGGGGTTTTGCTCGGGGAAGAACGCCGTCACGTTCTTGAAGCCGCTGCGTTCACCTGCACCGACCTGCCAGCCTGCACGGAAAGGAAAATTGACCGAATTGTTCATCACCTTGCGGACTCTGATTCTGCCGCGCACAGTTTAAGAGCCAAAAAGACCGTAATTTGGCTGATTCCTCCATCTTTTTACTGCAAAAGATGAAGCACCTTGTGGAATCACGAGGGTGAACTTGTTGGCCTCGTCCTCGTACGCGGTGAACCCCTCCTGCGCCTCTTAAAACCAAACGAAATTCCACGGAATCAGCACACCATCAGACATGGCCGGCGAAACCGGAAACGGTGGTTGGCATTACCGGCGGTCTCGGCGAAGGCCTCGGCGGGGACGAGCAGCGGCGCCGACAACGCGGCGGTGGCGGAGAGGAGGACGCCGAGCAGGGCGTCCCGCCGATTCACCCCCTCCTCCGCCCTCCGAGCAGGGAGGCAATGGCAGACCGTCGTTCTCGGCGGCTTCGCGTGGCCTTGGCGGGGCTTGCCGAGGCCGGGGCAGAGGGAGGCGGTGGTCACGGCAGCCATGGAGTACGGCTCGATGGTGGTCGACGACGCTGCTGTGATTGCTCGGCTGCAACTGCAGGTTCGCTTGGTTTTCAGAGGATATTTTTGCTTGGTGGCCGGCTGCCGTGTGGGAATTGTGGCTCGTCGTCCTCCTCGTTGCACGTCCAGTCTCGGGCGCGTTTTTTTTAAGAAACGCCTGTATTTTTTTCGGGAGAACCTGTATTTTTCTATGAGATCAATAGTAGTTTATTTCTTTTTTAAGGGCAAAAGGAGAGCTCATTTATTCATAGTACGAGTACAATCATTCTTGATTACATGAAGTATATTTGGTGGCACATTCTTCGGCAGAAAAAAATTCCCATAAATTTTAGCATGGGCAGCCAACTTATATGCAGCCACGTTACATTCTCTTTTAATTTTTCTGACCTCAGCTAGACTGAAGTTACACAACAGGCTTTTAGCCTCTTCATACTTAGCCCATCACTTGGCTTTGTTCCTTCCTTCATTGTTTATAGCATTCACAACGGGTGTGTTTAGTTGCAGTTCGCTACAGTACCTGCATTGCATGTACATCTCCAACCAGTCTGGTTCTTCATATGCACCCTCATATGCAATAGATGCAATCTATTTGGTTGCCTGCATCGCATGAAGGGCACTTACCCTCTACTGTTTGGTTGACGTTTTGTGTTTAGGGTGAGAGCAGATGCAAATTTCGGCTGTTTAGTTGCAAGCAGCGTTTGTGTTCTGCTCATCCCATTTAAATGTGGTGGCCTTACCACCACATGATCAGCACAACAGTAAGCACAACTGACAGCAGATCAAAAAGGCAAGCACTGACGGCAAACAAAACAAGCAACCAAATGAGATCAAACAAAGCAAGCAACGAAAATGACAACAAACTACTTAGATTAACAGCAGGGGCATCCTCCTTCCCTGCTCCACGCCAGGGTGCTGCTCCTGGCCAAAATATTAACAAGTTCACAGCACAAGTACCATAAGTTCTAGCCACAGACCATAACAAGTTCAACACTAATACCTAAGTTAACTACATTGCATGCTCAATGTCACCAACACAGTTGTGCTTGTTGCAACAAAACCTGCACATGATCGAGGAGTCATTGTTGTAGATTTGGACCTTCAGGCCGAGTCCCGAGATGTGCAGAATGAGGAGGTCGCCGAGGACGATCCGGTGCTGGTGACAGAAGTAGTTCTAGCCCCGGCCAAGCACCATGTGCCCCTCGAAGTTCTGGACCTGCACCCAGAACTCGCACCACTTGTTCGCCGACAGCCTGACCACGCGCGGGAGCCTCTTGATGACCAGTCACTCGTTCATCACCTCCACGAACTTGCGAGGGATGACGAGCATGGCGAGGTCTTCGGCGTCCTTGATTTGCTGATAGAAGCGCGGTGGCTCCCGGCCCCCCTCCTCGTGGCCGGTTCTCGAAGATCGTCCCCTTGAACGAGGCAGGCTCATGAAGGCGACCCTGCCAGGCAGGTCCACCCTCTTGAGCCACCTGTTCGTGGGGATGAGATCCTCGGCACCCTCAGCTCCGGCCACCACCTGAGCTCCTCCACCCACCACGTCCCAGTCACTCTTCAATATCTTGTCAGGTAAGATGACAAGTATTAGAGGTGTTTGCAAAATGAACAACCACTGATCAATGGCCTTAGCTCTTCTGCAAATGCCACTGATCAGTTGCACTAGCACTACAACAAATGGCACTCATCAGAGACATTTGCCCAAGAGCAAATGCCACTGATCGGTGCACAAACTCTTTGCCAAATTCCATTTATCAATGGCACTTGTTCTTGGGCAAATGCCACTGATCAGTGTCACTTGCTCTTGGGCAAGTCCCCTGATCAGTGGCACTTTCTCAAGTGCCAGTGCCATTGATCAGGGGACTTGCCCAAGAGCAAGTAGCACTGATTAGTGCTAGTTGCCCATGAGCAAATGCCACTGATCAGTGGCATCTGGTCTTCTGCAACCGCCACTCATCAGTGCACTATCCTAAACATGGAAACATTTAAAAATAGCACCCATGTGCACCCATGTATATTTGGCAGCATCCTAAAATGGTCCTACTACATGCACGTATTGAAGAAAATATGTCATAGAGGCAATAATAAAGTTATTATTTATTTCCTTATATCATGATGAATGTTTATTATTCATGCTAGAATTGTATTAACCGGAAACATGATACATGTGTGAATACATAGACAAACAGAGTGTCACTAGTATGCCTCTACTTGACTAGCTCGTTGATCAAAGATGGTTATGTTTCCTAGACATAGACATGAGTTGTCATTTGATTAATGGGATCAAATCATTAGGAGAATGATGTGATTGACTAGACCCATTCCGTTATCTTAGCACTTGATCGTTTAGTATGTTCCTATGACTATGAGATTATGCAACTCCCGTTTACCGGAGGAACACTTTGTGTGCTACCAAACATCACAACGTAACTGGGTGATTATAAAGGTGCTCTACAGGTGTCTCCGAAGGTACTTGTTGAGTTGGCGTATTTCGAGATTAGGATTTGTCACTCCGATTGTCGGAGAGGTATCTCTGGGCCCACTCGGTAATGCACATCACTATAATCCTTGCAAGCATTGTAACTAATGAGTTAGTTGCAGGATGATGTATTACGGAACAAGTAAAGAGACTTGCCGGTAACGAGAATGAACTAGGTATTCAGATACCAACGATCGAATCTCGGGGAAGTAACATACCGATAACAAAGGGAACAACGAATGTTGTTATGCGGTTTGACCGATAAAGATCTTCGTAGAATATGTGGGAGCCAATATGAGCATCCAGGTTCCGCTATTGGTTATTGACCGGAGACATGTCTCGGTCATATCTACATAGTTCTCGAACCTGTAGGGTTCGCACGCTTAAAGTTCAGTGACGATCGGTATTATGAGTTTTTGTGTTTTGATGTACCGAAGGTAGTTCGGAGTCCCGGATATGATCACGGACATGACGAGGAGTCTCGAAATGGTCAAGACGTAAAGATCAATATATTGGACGACTATTTTTGGACACCGGAAAGGTTCCGGAAGGTTTCGGACATATACCGGAGTACCAGGGGGTTACCAGAACCCCCGGGGGGCTTAATGGGCCTACATGGGCCTTAGTGGAAATAGAGGACAACAAGGGGAGTGTGGGGCGCCCTCCCCCCCCCAAGGCCCAAACCGAATTGGTTTAGGGCAAAGGGGGTCGGCTGATACGTCTTCGTCGTATCTACTTTTCCAAACACTATTGCCCTTGTTTTGGACTCTAACTTGCATGATTTGAATGGAACTAACCCGGACTGACGCTGTTTTCAGCAGAATTGCCATGGTGTTATTTATGTGCAGAAAAAAAAAGTTCTCGGAATAACCTGAAACTCCACAGAGATTATTTTTGGAAATAATAAAAAATACTGGCGAAAGAATCAAGGCTAGGGGCCCACACCCTAGCCACGAGGGTGGGGGGCGCGCCTGCCCCCCTGGGCGTGCCCCTTGCCTTGTGGGCCCCCTGGTGCTCCACCGACCTCAACTTCAACTCCATATATTCGTGTTCAGGAAGAAAGATTCATCACGTTTTACGATACGGAGCCGCCATCAAGCCCTAAACTCTCTCGGGAGGGCTGATCTGGAGTCCGTTCGGGGCTCCGGAGAGGGGAATCCGTCGCCGTCTTCATCATCAACCATCCTCCATCACCAATTTCATGATGCTCACCGCTGTGCGTGAGTAATTCCGTCGTAGGCTTGCTGGACGGTGATGGGTTGGATGAGATTTATCATGTAATCGAGTTAGTTTTGTTAGGGTTTGATCCCTAGTATCCACTATGTTCTGAGATTGATGTTGCTATGACTTTGCTATGCTTAATGCTTGTCACTAGGGCCCGGGTGCCATGATTTTAGATCTGAACCTATTATGTTTTCATGAATATATGTGAGTTCTTGATCCTATCTTGCAAGTCTATAGTCACCTACTATGTGTTATGATCCGGCAACCCCGAAGTGACAATAATCGGGACCACTCCCGGTGATGACCATAGTTTGAGGAGTTCATGTATTCACCATGTGTTAATGCTTTGGTCCGGTACTCTATTAAAAGGAGGCCTTAATATCCCTTAGTTTCCGCTAGGACCCCGCTGCCACGGGAGGGTAGGACAAAAGATGTCATGCAAGTTCTTTTCCATAAGCACGTATGACTATATTCGAAATACGTGCCTACATTATATTGATGAATTGGAGCTAGTTCTGTGTCACCCTCTGTTATGATTGTTACATGATGAACCGCATCCGGCATAATTCTCCATCACCGATCCAGTGCCTACGAGCTTTTCACATATTGTTCTCCGCTTATTTACTTTTCCGTTGCTACTGTTACAATTACTATAAAACCCGAAAATATTACTTTTGTTATCGTTACCGTTACTTCCATATTACTTTGCTACTAAATACTTTGTTGCAGATACTAAGTTACCCAGGTGTGGTTGAATTGACAACTCAACTGCTAATACTTGAGAATATTCTTTGGCTCCCCTTGTGTCGAATCAATAGATTTGGGTTGAATACTCCACCCTCGAAAACTGTTGCGATCCCCTATACTTGTGTGTTATCAAGACTATTTTCTGGCGCCGTTGCTGGGGAGCATCGCTCTATTCTTTGAGTCACTTGGGATTTATATCTGCTTATCATTATGAAGAACTTGAAAGACGAGAAAACAAAAATTTATCCCTCAACTACGAGGGGAGGTAAGGAACTGCCATCTAGCTCTGCACTTGATTCACCTTCTGTTTTGAGTAAGCTTGCGACACCTAAACCTACTTCTGTTATTAATTCTGATATGTCGCATATTATTGATGATGCCACTTCTGCTATGCATGATACCTATGATGAAACTACTTCTATGCTTGATACTACTGTGCCACTTGGTGAATTTCTTGATGGACAACTTGCTAGGGATAGAGAGAGTGAAATTATTGAAACTAATAATATTGATGAAATCATCATCACCGTCA